TGGTAGTGTGTTTTCTGAGCCATTTACTATAGTTGCCTAGAAAACTCAAGTTGTAAAAGTTAGGCCACCATGTTGAAATGTCCTATAAAAAACACCAGAAACTCTATTCCCTGTTACTGTACAAGAGAGAACGCGACCGTTCTTCAAAGCGGCTGCTAAAGCGGCGCTCACTCCTCGTTTCATAATCGTTTTAGCGGCAGAAGCCGACAAGCGCTGTGTGGTGTAAAGGTGAGCGCGCTTGTCTGTCAGTCACGCATCGCGGGTTCGATTCTCATCTGTGCGTTTTGGTTTTTTTTTCCTGATTTCATGCGGCGACATCATAGAATGGCCGAGTAACGAGAAAAAGTTGGGAATAATTGCCAAACAGTGAAGAAATCGAGTGTATTCTAAAAAAAAAATAAATGCTCTTCAAGTAGCGCGCATTGGGTCGCAATCGCACGATTTTCCGTCAGAATACATCATCTCGCTCCAAGAAAACTCCGTAGAATTTCGTGTCTGGCCTCCTTTAAATGGCTCGGAAATGACGTGATAGTCACCTGGTGTGATTTTTAGGTTATTTACAATGGTGGCTTAGAAAACTCAACTTGCAAAAGTTAGGACACCATGGCAGATTGTCTAGAAAACCCACCAGGTGAACGCAGAAAACCTCAAACAAATATTTTTCGAAAAATACTACGACACTCCGAAATAACGCACTGCGCTCTGTTTAGTGGTTCGAACGAATTGAATATCAAAAAAATACCTTTCCAAAGAAAAAAATCAGCACAGGTGCCCATGAGAAAATTGAAACAGAAATTTTTAAAGTAACTGTGTTCTAACAAATTATGAATTTTTTTCAAAATCAGCTATTTTTGAAAAATGTCTTGACCTACCCATTGTGACCATGATCGACTTGTGGTTGGAGAAAAGTTCAAGTCCAAATACTTCAAATTCTTTTTCGACTCCTTTCCCACGACTTTCTTGAGGGCCAGTAGGAAATCGGTAGTGGCGAGTTTTACTGAAAAAAAAAACTAGTACAGTAAACGCGCTCCACCGAAAAACACACATTTCTTGTTCTTCAAAAATTCAAATCCATCGAAAGCCAAAGATTCCAAACTTTTCTTCCTAAGCATTTGAACCATCGGCTGGAACATTGATTTTCCTCCCAATTGAATTTTGGTTACTGCCATTTTGGATTCAACCTGTTTTAAAATATTAGAATCACATCCGTATCTCCTGCTGAACAATTCCCAAATCTCATTGCTCATCTTTGGCTCAAGTACACAGTTTGTCTGGTCGTAAAAACCTAAAAAATTGGGGAATCTGATTTTTATTATAATAAGATTCTTACCATCATGAATATAATTTGCTACAGATTCCAGAGCAAGTAGACGGAGACTTGGGACAGACATTTTGAGCGAAAAACACAAAGAAATGGGTGTTTTTATGTGTGATAGGAGGAAAAAGGGCTACGATCGATTTGATGTCTTCTGGCAAGGTAGAAATCAATAGGAGGTCATCTAGGCCTTCAAATTACGGTCCCTCCCTGTTTTTGCCTACTGTGTTCCCCCTTGGTCTGTCCAAGATAGAGATGAATGGACAGTCCATTGTCCGGCCATTTTTAGATGTCAGTTACTCGTGGGGAAATGTTTTGATTGTAGTCCGTAGAATATTTTTTCAGCAAAAAAATTTGAAATTTGAATTTTCCGTCAATATGGCTGGTTTTTTTTGCTGCCCCTCATTAATATACAGAAAATGGAAAATACTGAAAAGAGTTTGATCTACGAAAAAGTGCGGCAAAAACGTAATATTTCAGAATTTCGGCTCATTCGAGCTACTTTCGCGTTCAAGTTTAGTTTTTTGCTGAAAATTAGATTCTAGAGATGCTAGCTATCATTTTTATACGAAGAATTCAAATTTTTGTTCTGAAAATCCCACTAAATTCACATAAATAAATTTGTTATCTACAGTATCCGTTTTCGCTCCGCCCCCTCGTAAATCGACACGAGCGCCGTAACCGAGATTTTCAGGTGTCACTTTTTTTAATTCGACAATACGGATGGTTGTAAACAATTATTTTTTCCAATAATTCGGTTTAGAAAAAATTTGAAACAGTAATAATTTGATTACATATTTAAGGTGGTGAAGAATTGTTTGTTTTCTCTGGGATTAGCTGGTTTTCTCTAAATAGGCCAATTTCTGTTGTTGTTTTGTTGATCGTGTTTAAAGGTACAGACCTTTGCGCGCTCCAGGGATCCCGCCACGAAAGAGGGGAGAGAGGGGGAAGCGCCGCCCATCGGGCCTCCAGTCTACGTGTGTGTTACGTAGTGGTGTGTGAGTCGTTTTCGTAGCGATTTTTGTGTCAAGTTTGTGCGAAATTGGATCAAAAGATGATCGAGGATTCTGGAGAAAGGCCTGCTCAGGATCCAAACAAGTTCGCTGTGGAGAGTTTTGCTACCAAGGTAGCTGAAAGCGTCGAGAGCAAGCTGTTTGGGATTAATCTCCTGTCACGGATGCAAGGATTCCAGGAGGAGAAGGCGCCAACGTTGAAGCAAAAAGGATATCAATATCAGGCGGATTTTAACGTACAAGTCATCAACATGTTAGCGGAAGCTAAAAGGAAAGGAAGTTTTGAGGAAGCGATTGACAAGGCTTCAGCGATGCTCCGGAAACGAAATCAGGAGATTGTGTTGCTAGACAGAAATCCAGCATCTCTCAAACAGGTCGAAAGTATGCGTGCAATTTCGGAATTAGCGGGAACATCGGATTCAAGTGACACGAAGCTTTTGGCATTGACGTCGATTCTCGCCAGAGAAGAACCGAGTGCTTCGAGAAGACCAGGCCCATCGAGGCAGTTGTTTCGATATTCGGACTTCGGGGGACGGCATCTTTCTCTGTTAGCAGCACCACTACATTCTACACACCATATCCATCATAAATAAACCTGTATCATCCATAATTTTTGTTTGTAGTCTTATATTTCAGCGTAGGACTAGAGAAAACAATTTCTCCATGACACGCAGTGGAGAGGAGAATTTTTGAAAAATACGTTATAACTAGCTAAAATCTCAGTGATTGGATTAACTGTATTAAGTTTGATTTATACAGTCTTATCTACAAAACTGTTGATTTTCAGCTGTTTTTAAGTATTTTCAAGAGTCTGGAGCTCTGCTTTCAAGTTTGCGATCACTTTGAAAACTTTGGAGGGAGTAAAACAGACCTAGATTGAAAACTTTGCATTCACAGAATTGTTCGAAGTTTCTTAGTTTTTCAGCTAATAGCTTTTTTCTGAAAGACACTCGTAACTCACGGTTCCAGGACTAAACAAGGGTGTCTATCAGAAATTTGTCTCGGAAATAGCAAAAAATTCTGCAATTTCCAAGTTTTTAATCTAGGGCTGTTTAACATCCTTCAAAGTTCTCAAAGTGATCGGAAACTTGACAGCCGAGCTCCAGACTCTCGAAAATGCTCAAAATTTCCGAAAATCAACTGAAAAATTTGTTTTCGCAGGTTTTATTGACTGGTACTGTAGCTGAATGAATTCAAATGTTTTAAAAAGTCATTTGTCTCAAATTCTAAGTCTTTTTTAGGAAAAAAAACATTTGTCAAGGGATCAAATAACATGAATCAAATAATTAAAAAATCTAAAATATTCAGTAGTTTTATGAAAACAATGAAACAGTATTTTCTTTAATCGTTTCCTTGTATTCAAATTTTGAGAATTCTCCGGTCTGTTTGAAAAATTTTTATCAGAAATTTGCTGTTTCATTCTGATTTTTGAATTTTCAACAACTTCACATACTTCGTTACGAACACAGAGGATTCGCGAACAACCCGTTACGGACGCTCAGCGTTTCGCGCGGTTGAAATAGGAACCGCATACGGACCGCACTTAAACTTTTGACTGATTCGCGAACGAACCCCTTTATTCATCATTCGCAAGGATCTCTTTGTTCATCATTCGCAATCGGATCGGATACAGAGTTCGCGAACGGACAGAATACGGAGGAATACGGAATAACGTGCTTTTTCGGAAAACGGGTCGCGTGTGGTCCGTACGTGGTTCCTATTTCAACAGCGCACCCAAACGCTGAGCGTCCGTAACGGCTCAGTTTACCTGTGTTAGTAGGGTTCCGGTCCGTTTGTCAGTGTGCCCAGATGTTCAAAAATGTGGACACACAGAGCCACAGACAAAATATGCAATTGAACGAGATAAAAATCGAAGATTCCAAATTCGAAGTTTTTTTTGCAAAAAAAATTCGGTTTCAAAACTTTACAGAATTCACTGATCATTAATCGTACTTTCGCTGATCCAATTATCAATATCTCGCAAAAAAAAACAACAGTATTACAGTAATCTAGTGGGTGTATAATTGTGGTACAGAGGCCATGGCTGAAGGTCCCAACACGACAACTACCGTAACCTAAAAATACTATTATTACCAGGCTTTTAAATCTGCAAAATAAGCATATTTTTAGGTTACGGTAGTTGTTAGCTCAAATTTTTTGTATTGTCTATTCAAAATAATCGCGCGGGTGAACGAGTAAAAAAACGTGTAGAGAGTCTCCAAATCTGTAGAGGCACTGCAGAGACGCAGACATTTTTAC